TTTCTGGTTCTTCAAGTAGGATTCCCGCTGAATCTTTCTTGACATTTTCAGTCCAATCCCATTCTTTAAGCTCATCTGTGATCATGTCCCTGATGATCACAATCTTCTTGTTCACTGGGTCGAACAACTTGTAACCTCCTGTCAAATGATATCCAACTAGAATCATTTGACTCGACTTGTCATCAAGTTTTGTTCTCAACTGATCTGGCACATGTCTATGTGCAATAGATCCAAATACCTTCAGATGACTCAAGCTAGGCTTTACACCAGACCAACATTCTTCTGGAGTAATTCCTTCTATCTTCTTCGTAGGACATCTGTTCAAAACGTATGTTGCAGTCGACACAACTTCACCCCAAAACTCTTTAGGTAAATTCTTGCCTTTCAACATACTTCTCACCATATTCATGATGGTTCGAGTCTTCCTTTCTGCAGTTCCATTATGCTGTGGAGTATAGGGTGGCACCACCTTATGCAAAATCCCTTCCTTTTCACATAACATGTCGAAATCTTTCGACACATACTCTCCACCATCATCAATTCTCAAAACTTTGAGTTTTCGTCCACTTTGTTTTTTGACCACAGACTTAAACTTGGTAAATACCTCGATCACTTCACTTTTCTTCTTGATCAGGTAAGTCCACAACTTTCGACTGAAATCATCTATGAATGTAACAAAGTATTTGTTACCTCCCATCGTATCCACCTGGATTGGTCCACATACATCAGAGTATATAACTTCAAGAATAACCTTTGAACTACTTCCTGCATCCTTGCTGAAGCTATTCTTGTGCTGCTTCTCCTGCACACATTTCTCACATACCTCGTTTAGAATGTCGATTTCTGGCAATCCTAAAATCATATTTCTTCTCTTTAAATCTCTGATGTCTCTGAAGTTGAGATGGCCTAGTCGATAATGCCATATCCATTCATCTTTTTTGGCTGCAGTCGAAAGGCACTTGTGTTCCATCACATTTAGTTCGATCTTGAAGGTTCTATTTTGAGACATATGAGCCTTCAAGATTAATCTTCCATTTGCATCGACGATTCTCATCATCTTATCTTTGATCGACACTTTATAATTCTTTTCGACCAACTGCCTTATACTGAGCAAATTGCTCTTCATGCCTTGTATGTACAACACATTGGAAATTACTGACCTCTTTCCATCTTTCCTCATAATCATAACATCACCAATACCTTCAACTGCTAGGGTATTGTCATTTGCGAATTTTACCATATTTTTCATTGAGGGCTTTATGTTGACAAACCAGTCTTTCCTTCCAAACATATGTGATGAGTATCCTGAATCCAAGTACCATTGATCCTTGAATCTATCTTCATCTCTTATTGTGACCATCAACATCATCTCTTCTTCTCCATGTTTTGCAAACTTTGCATCACTTTCTTGATTCTTTCGTTTTTCTGGACAATCACTCGAATAGTGACCATACTTCTGACAATTGTAACATTGAATGTGACTCTTGTCAGGTTTTCAACCACCACTTCTTCCTCTATTTGCAACACCACCTCTTTGGTTGCCTTGGTATGGTCTTCTCTGATTTGACATGTTTCCTTCGTTCTGATTTCCTCTACCATTCGATTTGTTGTAGCTGCCTCTACCTCTGTCGAACCACTTTCCTTTGCCTTTGGTTTCTTTTGTTGAATGTGCCTGCAAAGCCACATCACTCTTCGACTTGCCTGCAACTCTTTCAGTCATTGTTTGTTCATGAGATTCAAGCGTCCCTTGAAGCTCTTCCTTTGTCAATTTTGACAAGTCTTTCCCCTCTTCTATAGCCACCACCATGTGGTTGAACTTAGGAGCCAAAGATCTCAAGATCTTCGAAACAACAGCTCTTGTTGTTAATGTTTCTCCACATACCTTAATTTGATTCACTAGTTTTGTAACCCTAGTGAAGAAATCAGATATGCTCTCACTATCTTCCATCTGAAGCAATTCATACGTTCTGTTGTGAGTTTGTAACCTCACTTCTTTCACATTTTCTGCACCACCAAAAGACTTCTCAAGAACCTCCAAGCTTCTTTTGTAGATTCTGAATCACTCACTTTTTCAAAATTTTCTGGACTCAGACATTGATGAATTATGAAGAGTGCTTTATAACTCAGCTTCTCAGATTCTGTGTGTTTCTTCTTTGCTTCTTCTGAAGCATTTTCTCCAAGCGCTTCCAATCCATCCTTTACAAGATTCCAAAGACCTTGACACCTGAATAAAACTTTCATCTATTTGCACCAATTCTCATAGTTGTTTATTTTCAGAATTGGTAGAGTTGTTGGATAATTTGCATTCCCATAACTCGCCATCGTGAATTCTTTTTCTTCCTCAATCGTTTTTGATCGATACTTCCCTTGAATCGATTAACTGAGCTCTTGATACCAGATGTTGAAAATCCACTAAATATCTATGATGAATTTCTATCAATCTTGATGAACAAGATTGGTATCACCACACAATGACAATGAATTATGAGAAAAGAAAAGAAAAGAAAGAAGACAATTATTTTCTGCAGAGTTTCTCTCTGCCCACAAACTGTGGAAAACTTTGTTATTCACTTGCAACTGCAAATTCTGTGAATACAACTTAATTGACTTAATTGTCTTGATTACAAAATTAGGGGTTACTCCCTCTATTTATAGATTTAGGTTAGTTTGCTCCTAAGCCAAAGCCCAAAACTATAAAGCCCAAAATACCTATTTTGGTACTAAATCAAATCTATCTATTTTAGATCTAAATCAGATCTGTCTAAATCCAAAATCAATTAAATCTGTATGTAGCTTGTTTCGATTCACAAGCTCTTCGACTGAACAACCTCCCTTCGACACACACTATTTCGACACATCTTCTTCGACACTCTCTTGTCTCTGTCGAACAAATTGCTTCGACAGAAGGAATTATTTTCAACAGTTTGATGCTATATCAAAGTTACTTGGTCGATATGTTAAATCACATACCATATTTCTTCTTGATCTTATAAGGGAGCTTCACAGAAATAATGAAGATTATCTCTAGATGTTTGGGGATGAAGAATCAATTCAATCAGGCCAAAAACACTCTGAATTATGTAGGAATAGGCACATTACTTTAAAATAAATTATTAATTATGTCACATATGATATTTTTTTATTGCACAAAAATATAAAAATGTCGCGGTTCTACTAAGAAGATATGTGTTCTCAAAAACTTATCTTCCGTCATGGGATACACCAGAAAAGTGTGTGACTCATTGACCGTGAATATGTGCATAACACTCATTTCATACATATAAATTTGTTTCAATTTTAAATTTATACTGTGTTATTGTCGGTCATTTATAAGAATCATAACATTTGGTATATGATTCGTAACTACGGTTGAAAAAACACCCCAAGAAAAAGCATCAAACTCAGCGGACATATATCTTCTAAAAAGGACTAAACATAACAAACTCTATTGTACTCAGAAAAATATCTTAATTGAAGATGTTAAACATATATAAGTTAGAGACCCTGATTCATATGACAATCATGATAAGATATATTTAATTAAAAATTAGTTAAAATATTTATGATTAAGAAATTAATTTCATTTTAAATATTCTAAGATATTTTGAAATAATGTTTGAGAATGTCGAGAATATATATAATATTTTAATATATGTATATATTTTTAAAAACTAACTAAATAAATATGAGTAAAGAATTATAATATTTTATATATGAAATAATATTTTGTTATATCTATTTAAGTTATTATTGAATTTGATATTATTATTTTTTAGGTGTTTTTCTAAATTATTTGTGATAGTCATCTAAATTATTACTATTTTTTTTTATATTTTTGTATAGTTTGAATTCTAAAATTTAAAGATTTCAAAAAAGAATTTAAAATTTTACAAATACTTTTATCAATTTCAAAAATTTCTAACAAAATTCAAGTGATGGAAATAGAAAATCACATTTGTTTATTTAACCCTAAACACGAGAGAGGAGCCTCTTAATCATCATGCCCTCCTTAGTTTGGATAAAGTCAAACGAAAGTCGACGAAGACTGCAACGTACGGTGGAAACATAGTACGTACCAACCCCATAAGGTAACATGTCCTTATGTCTGGTTCCATCCCCTAACATAAATACACTCACATGATTAATCCAAACATGTATTAACTATTAAGGTGCCATTAACACGAACGTGAGCTCCATCATAACCGCAAACAAAGTCAAAAATTGTATACTTCTTCTTCTTTCAATCAACATCCACCAACTCACTTTTCAATTTCCTTCTCCTATAGTATTTATTATTAAGTTGACCTTATCTATTTCTCATCAATTAGACCATTATTACTATCACGTAGTATAACAACACCACACGAACCTACTAAGAAACTCTCTAGCCTCCTCTCTCCCAAAATCAAAATCAAATTCAAATTAGTGTAACTAAGTCCATCTTTGGATTACTACTTCCTACCATACATTAACGTGTCAATATCGAATATTAATGGCCGTATTTCTTGACCAATAAAATTATTTGGATTATTCACTTGGCTCTCTATGTTCAACATTTTTCTTCTTTCTTTCGCTTTTTTTGTTCTTTAGTAGATGGGTTACTAAATTTATAACTATGTCGTTTTCAATATTTTCCACAAAGGTTACGGTCCAAATTAAGGAAAGATAACGATGAAACAAATGAAGAAAAAGATGAATACATATTTAACTTTTTCTGATCACATGTCTAAGAATTTTGAATAACATATCCAAGATTATTCAACGTACAATAAAACAAAAAATTGAAGTGATTTTTTTCTTTCATATATATGATATTATGATCTACTATTCTCCTATATATCCTCTTAATCCAAAGACATATGGACTAAAAAGAATATGAACATTTATGATGTGCCTTTACCTTAATAGATGTACAAAAAAAAAAAAGGAATAATATATATTTTGAAATAAAAAAGAAATAATATTAATCTGAAAAACAAAGAACCTAAGAACAAAGTGATTTAGTTTCCTGAAAAGTTGCTAACTGCACTTCTGCTATTGTTGTTGTTGTTGCTGTTGTTGTTTGCGTGACCACCGCCGATGATGGAGGAGATAGCGGCGGCAAGAACAGCGGTGAAGTTTGGATCGGAAGTGATAGCGGCAGTGGCGGCGCTGACGGAATCAGCTAAGGAAGGTTGTTGTTGCTGCTGTTGTTGGTGTGTTGGAGCTTGTGTGGTTGTTAAATGAGAAGAACCAACTTCTTGAGACAATTGAAGACCAGAGAATTTGGATTGATTATAAAGAGATGCGGCTGCTTGTTGAAAATTCTGAGGTTGTCCTTGAAAGAAACCTGGCACTTGAAATGGCGCATGATGAGGTCTTTGAAATTGCTGCAATGGGTTTGGATTTGGGATTGGGTTTGAGTTTTGTGTTAGATCCAATGTAACAGTTGGGAATGGTGCTGATGCTGAAAGTGTTGCCATGCTTGTTGAACAAGGAAGAATAGCTCTTGCTAGTAAATTTGGTGTCATTATTCCATCTGCACTTGACATTGAACCTGATAGTAACATGCTTGCAGCTGCTGAGGTCGTTGATGCCATTGCCATAGCTGCTGGTGGAAGTGGATGGTTGTGTGTTCCTTCGTATGTTGTTACCAATATTGTTTTGTCCTCGGCACAACGTTGAACCTATGAACAAAAACATGAATCATCATTAGCTTTGCGTTACATCAATGTTTTGTAAAACACAATTATTCATAAAGATTATACATTGATTAGACCAGAGATAGTACTATCAAAAATAGAACTCACTTGTTTGCGAACTGGACAACCAACTGCCATAGTGCATCTGTAGTATGCTCTAGGACATGGATTTCCTTTAGCCATTTTTTGTCCATATTTTCTCCATTGGCATCCATCACTAATCTGCAATTTTGATGCATCACATAATTCAGTAAGAAAACTAATCATGATTCATGAAATCATTATATAAATTGATGATGATTTAATAATTTTTACTTGGTACTAGTTAATTTATACATACCATTGAAGCTTCTGATCTAGCGCGAACGGAGACGCGAGCTTTTCTCATTGTAGCCTCCGTAGCAGATTGCTCAGCAACATTGGAAGAGTTCAGTATTTTCTGAACCTTATTAGGACCCCAACCTTGTGATTCTGAATCAGGACTATCTTCTCTACCATTTTTACCGTTGTTATTTCTTATATGATCTCTAGCTCCAGCTTCAATAAGACTATTCTGAGGCGTGTTCGATCTTGTTCTTTCATCCGATGAAGAATTTGATACTCTATCATCAACTTCAGCTGTTCCATTAGTCCCTATCTCAAGAAACTGCCTCGGTACTATTCCTCCATCAACACCATGGATTTTCTCCTCAGCTTTTGCATTGACAACCTGAATTCAATTACTATTAATATCTATGAAACTAATAGTTATTTCGTAACTTTCTTATATAAGATTTGAATTTGGTTCATAAACTGAAATCTTATATACTAATCTTTTTTTTAAATTTATAATTACCTCATTTTCTGTGTGGTGATTCTTTTGCATTAATGACATGAGCTGCATCTGCAAAGCGGTGTAGTTACCGGTAACATGACTGAGCATCTCTTTCAGCTTTATGTTCTCGGAATTCATCCGTTGAAGCTCCACTTGCAAGTGTGCAAGCTGAATCAATTAAACAAGTTTATACCAATAATTATCGATTGAAGCCAGTAACAAACTCAAAATTAAATTAAATAAAACTAAATTATGTACCTCAGTGGTCTTGGCATCAGATGAAACTCCGTCATCCACTACAGATTGATCACTGGCGGTGTTGGCAAGTTGTAAACCGGTCTATAATATTTGAATCAAATTTAATTAATCAATAGAAGATTTGATAATAATTATGAGAGGCTAATAGTAATAATAAGAAGCTTACATTAACATGAATATTGGAAGTGGAGGGTTTTACGTCGGTTGAAATGATCTCCTTTTTGATGTTGTTGTGTGAAGCTGAAGGTGATGGTTTGTTTCTTTCGGAGAAGAAATCGACTTCGCTGGTTATTTTCCGATCACCGCCGTCATCAGCGTTGGTGTTGCGGGTGAGGTTTACAGGGAAGCCTAAAATAGGAAACATTCTATCGTTGGTGTGTTTGGAAGGTAAAAAAGAGTGAGATATTGGAATTGGAGAGGAAGAAGAAGCGTCAAGAGCAAGTCCCCAACCTTTGTCCATATAATATATAATGAAAACTCAAAAGGAGAGAGTTTAGAGAGAGAGAGAGAGAGGTAGATGAAGTCTTTCACCAGTGAAATGGATTAGGGTATAAAAAGAGTTTCGGAATAGAAAGGAACGTGGACCAGATGGAAAATGAAATTTGGATTGGATGAAAATTCCACGATATTTATTTTATTTTATTATTGGTCCTCAAACTGTTGCGTAAGACGGTGCGTCAGGTTGGACACTGTCCCAAATTCGAAAGCTAGGTAGGTTTTCTCCCTCCACACACGTCCATAGTTTGACAATCACTATTTCATTTTATTACTATAATCTGTACCTTGCAAATAGGGAGTCAGAATAGACTCGGTTGAGTTATACTTCATCAAATATATAAGACTTTGTATTACTAAAATTCTCTAGTTTAACTTTGATTTGAGTTTATTATAAACTTTTTTAGATTTGAGTATGGAAATAAGTTTGAGTTTATTAAACATTTATAAATATACATGGATAAGCCCAGTAACAATGTAATACAAGCCTTTAAACAATTTTTAACATTATTCAAAAATATATTTCAACTTATTTTTGTAAATTCTTCAAAATAACTAAATTTTATTTTTATATTTTAATTTTAAAAATAATAGTAAAATTATTTATATTTATTTAAGTAAACTGACATGATAGATTTTAAAAATTGTTATAATAATTTGAGCTTTAACTTTTTTACCAAATAAATTTAGCAAAAATTTAGATTTTTTAAAAGAAAATTTGATTTGACCAGATCTAAATTTAAAAGCATCTTCAATGAAAAAAATTATTTGATGCTTATCTTATATTTTGTGGACTTAAATTACCATATTGTATTTAAATTAATGTTTTAAATATCAGATTAGGTATTAAATTTATGAAGTTATTGGATCATTGAAATCTAATTTTAAATAATAGAAAGTTGTATTAAATAAAATTTGAATAAATTTATTTATATTTTAATTTTATTTTTTAAATTTTTTTTTATCAAAATGAGTTATTTTATCTCAGAAAATAAAAATCATGTGTCTATTTTTCAAAACCGTCTGTTCATCGATTTTTATTGGTTCAATAGCATACTCAGTCTATCAATGAAACCAGACGAATGAATACTCTTGTTTCTAATTCAACTGATTCGATCAATCAATTTGATCTGATTTTTAAAATATTGATTTAAACAATGTCTAAGCAATTTCAACTATTTTTACTTCAATAAATAAGTTATATTTGAAGCTACTAATTTATATTATTTTATTATAATATATTTTATTAATCATTTTTCAATTAAATTGATTCAAAATAATAATATTTAATGTTAAATTGTTCCAATATTAATATATCTTTATTTTTTATTAAAAAAAGAAATTGCTTTAGTAAACTTTATTATTTAAATTTAAGGGGTCAATGTAATTAAAATTAGACTTTGTTTAAAATTTATTTAAAAAAAATTTCTTTGTTTTTAATTAGAACTTCTCCAAAATATATTTGAATTTATATTTTGTATTATTTTATTGCGTATAATAATTATATTTAAAATTTAAATTTAAAAAATATGATTTAATAAATAAATATTTTTATTATAGAAATTAATTTATTCAATCAAATTATTTAATTTATTTTATTTTAATTATAAAATTTGATCTATAATCAGATAATTTAATCAATAAACTAATAATCAAATACCCTCTTTGATTTAATACCAATCCAATTTTAAAATATTGGGTAAGGAATATGCTCCTTTTAATTGGCCTACCTTATTCCGCCTCTACTTACTATTCATTCTTGCTTAATTTGGTTATTTAAATGTATCTTTTTGTATTACTAGCTAGCTAAGAGAGTACAGTACTAGTATATTTTTACATATTGTTATTAAAAATAATGTAATAAATCCAATCCCAAGCAATAAAAAAGTGGAGTGTTGTATGAATGCGAACGAGGAGTAGAAGTAGTGAAGAAAAAGAAAGTAATAGAAAAAGGGACGTTAGATTGAATAAGCGAAGAAAAAAGAAAGATAGAGGTAGGTTCGTGTATGTTTCGTGAAGAAAGGTTTTGACTGAATCATAAATGAGACGAAGAAAAAGAGCCACCGCCCCCGAATACTGCGGGTAGGTTACACGTGATGAAAATGATATTGTTCTTCATTTTCTCTTTCATAGAATGATAGCAATGGGTAATAGTAGTACACACGCAACGCATTAAAATGCAAAGAAATTCAACAAGAAGACACGATTAAGGAAAAGCCAAGTCAACTAATTTGACGGCCCGGCTCTTTCTCTGTCTTCTATGCCACGTCGGATCCATGACTGAACTCATCCCGGAACTATGTTGACTCTTTACTCAATGGGACCGCTCACCTGCTCACACCTTTTTTACTACTCATTTCTATTATAGCGAATCACACTTTAATTCAAAAAAATAAATTCATTCTCTCTTAAAATAATAACTGTTTAAAGTTGTTATATGAGATTAAAAAAATAATGATTGAAGCCGTAAATAATATTTATATAAAATTATCTTTTATTATTAGTTGTAATACATTGTCATACTTAAAAATAAAAATTAATTATAATTATATTGGAAAATTAAATAGATTATTATTTTAAAATAACTTTTTAAAATTAAAAAGATAATTATTTTGAGACAGAAAAAATAATAAATTTAAGTTTTTAGATGGATGGAAATTGTACACATAAAAGAAAGAATTAATACATACTCGTAATATATTATTCTTTCTGTTCATTTTTAAATATCATTTTAAAATAAAATTTTTGAATTAAAATAATAGATTGTTAGAGTTATTTTTCTTATTGTTCTTTCATTTATTTTCTTTTTCTAGTAAATTCAATCATACATTCTCTCTCATATTCTCATATTTAATTTAAAAAATAATTAATTTTATGAAAATATAAAACAGAACTATTAAAAAGTAAGGATATAATTAATAAATTATAACATTAAACTATAAAATGACACTTAAATAAAATAAAAACTTCTAAAACGATGAATATTTTATTTACATTACTGCAAAATAAAAAATTACTATTAAATTAGAATTCTTAAAAAATATATATTACATTAAGAATGATTTAATATATAATATTAAATAAAACAATTAGATACCAGAAAACACATTTAAAGTGTCAATTATATTAAAATAATTATCTTTAAAAGATTCATTTATTATGAAATAAAGAAAATAACTCTTAAATTTAACCTTAACAATAAAATATGATAATTCTATAAAAAAAATGATAATTACATATAATTTATTAAACTTAGAATCGATAGTTAGATGTGAGGTTTTATGTGAAGAAAACTTATAAATAAATCTAATATGTTAGAAATGTGAAAAGTTTGTATATGTAGAGTATAATGGAACAATATTAGAGAAGAGTTTTGAGTTAAATGTTCGCAATGCCTTTTATGATATGAGATAATATAAGAGAATGATATTCTTTAAAAAAAAATGAGAAATGTGTTCGAATGATATTAATTTATTGTTATGAAAATTGATAAGTTATTGTCAGCAAGTTAAGAGTAACGTACAAGCATTGGTTGACATTGGTATAATATTTGATGTGAGATTATGTTGGTGGTTTAAGAACTTTTTTAAAAAGTCAATTTCAATTTATCAATTTGGTGTAATGTTTCAAATGTACAATTAGACAATATAATTGAGTTCGACAGAATTTTATGGAAGTTACAAGAAACCTCCCAAGATTCTATGTTTGAATGATTTCTTTCTATCTCTTCATTCTCCTCATATTACTTGTAAGCGTGCGTGAGTGCCTTATTGTACTAGTCTTCATCTTGGTGTGAAGAGTTTAGGGTATATGTTGTGGTCCTTCCTGTTCGCAATCTTTTTTTTTTCTGGTTTAGTTTTTCTCGTTTTCAGCTTTGCCTTCATCTTTCTCCCATCGTTTGGTTCACTCTGTATATACTGTGTTTTATACGCCCTATTTTATGGAGACCCAACAACTCACATAAATTGAGAGATGAATCAGATTGAGCTTAGAAATGAATTGTAATGACCATCCTTCAACCTTGTAAAACCCTAAGAATCCGCTTCTTGGAGAAAGTAGCCATGGCAACCAACACAACATGTACCTGTAAACCGAAAACAACATGAATATTCATAGTAAAGAACCATATCCAGATCAACAACAACAACAAGATTTCTGTGTTTGGGATAACAATGATATAAAAGAAAAATTTTAAAAAAATTAACAAGTAATTATACGCAAATTTATTTATGAAAAGCCTATGCATAAGAACTCCCTTACATCAGACCTAGCAAACATATGGTGCGACCCAAATGGCATAAAATCAAGGAACTCGAATCAGGATTCTATCATATTTCTTTGGAAAATCAATTGGATATTAAGAAAATTTATAAAGGGAACCCTTGGATTTTTAGGAATGTTTGGTTCTTAGTCCGACCTTGGATCCAAGACCATGCTAAGCAAGAATCTCAATTCTATAAAGTTTATGTAGAAATTCAGCTACGGGGAATCCCTAAAAAAATTAAAGAAATAAACAAATGGAAGAAAATATTAGTTCCAAAATTGGTCAAGTTTTCGAGTTTAACTTATATCTTTTCCCTCATAATATCACAATGATCAAAATTAAAGTGCTATTGTTATATATATATATATATATATATATATATATATATATATATATATATATATATATATATATATATATATATATATATATATATATATATATATATATATATATATATATATATATATATATATATATATATATATGAAGTAGAAAGGAGGGTGCTAGTTGGATAAACTTCATATATGACAAAACTTCCTATGTTTTACTTCTGATGTGGCATAGCTGGTCACAAGGAAGAATTATATGTTAAGGAAAATCATACAGGTGGAGAATCTCAAGGACAAGACCAGTATGAAGCATCGTTGAGAGCTATAGATTTTGAAAAGAGCAATCTGGATCCTCTGAACTCCCTAAGA